AAATACATAACAATATAATATTAATTATATATTTAGTTTTAAATTGTATATTTTATATATCATTTTTCTTTTATTTTATTTACCGTCCCAGCTGTTTAAGCAAATTTTTTTTAATTTTTTTTATTTATGTTTATGCACTTTCATATTTTTATACTCTGCTTCCGCCCATGAATGTGCCGTTACTTTCATTACTGCAAATGCCATGGCAACACTGGATGGTAGCAATTTTTAACACGCATACGCACTGTTGCACTTGCATAAAACATAATGTCTCCATTTCAGTATTATCTCTTGCCGCTGCTCTCTTTTGTCGCTTTTTCAAAGGGAATGCAGAATTTTTTAATTTTTAAAACTAGCAAATATAACAAATTGCAAGTACTGAGAGCTGGGGGGTTGCACTACCACCAAAGAAATGACTCTCCACCATTTTCCAACCTCTGCACAATCAGCAGAAGTCAGCCAGCTATGAACAAAAGTTAAACAGACAAAACTGAGTGCAAAGTGAACGCTGGTGGGTGGGAAGGACAGTGGGTGGGCGCCCAAGCAGTTGACATTTATAAATTTCACACGCGGGGCGCGTGAAATTCCGACGCCATTTTAAAGTTGAAACATTTGCGTAATTAGCAAGTAAGTGCAACTTTGGCGCTGGAGGCAACCCTGAAGGTGCAACACCGCATTAAACCAAGAAAAAAGAAGGAAACCATAGCAAGGGAACAACTTTAAGTGCTGGCGCAAATTACGTACGAAGAACTTAATTAAATTGTAACCATTTCTCTACGTTTTTTCCCCGTTTTGCTAGCCATGTTGGCTTTTGGCCAAATGCATGTTTGCAAACTGAACTGGCTGACAATTAACTAATGTCAGCGGCGCAAAAGTTTTTTTTTGGTAAAAGATGCGGGCGACTTCCGCTACTTACGACTCTGGAGTGTGTTGCACTTGTTCCGGCATTTAAATGGAACACTCTGAACATGAACATAAATATGGGTTAAATGCAAGCAGACTTAAAATTAAATATGCAGTTAATAAGAAAATAAGGCAAAGGCAGTAACATGGATATTATAATTGCCTTTTAAACAACGTTAATAATCACCTGCCATAAAATAGTTGAACTGATGTGTTATTTTAAACTGTATTTACTTAAGTCCTTTTGAAAAAACTTTCTTTATTAATATTTAATTTAATTAGGAAAATCTCTCATGTATTACTATTTATTATGACTTTCTTTAAGGTAGCTTCCCATAGTTTGTCATGGACACTGACTTCATTTATCATGAACTTGGTTGTAATGACATCATTGGGCATTCCACTGACATCTGTCTGTTATATTGTGCGTAAAGTCATGCGATAAGCGATTTCTTTTTACCGCCCATAGTCCCAACTGCCCTGACATTTCGGTTAGCCGTAAGTGAGCATTATCAATCGCGAATCGACACCCCGGCATTGTCACCATCATGCGAATCATCATCGGCATAATGGTCGCTGGTCGCTGGCACGTTTGTCATTTTATGCCGTCTGCTTATGAGCATTATATCTGCATTGTCACCTTGTTGGCCATTTAACACGGATGGGGCGTCCCTTCCTGAATCGTGGGCTTCTGTCTCTTGGTCTCCATCCACCCAACTCCATCCCTCTTATCGTTTCGACTGGTAGGAAGCCATGTATTCCCTTTTCTGCTGGGGATTTAAGGACATGGCTGTCATCGTTACTGTAACGGCCACACCTCCCATTCTCGACCTTCCTTGTCGTGTACAAAAAGTACTTCCTTTTGTTTCGTTTCGTTTTTTTTTTTTATATAGATTCACTTTTCGTTGGATTGGAGCAAGAGATTTGCTCCTGTGTGCGATTCAATTAGCACAGTGAGTCCTTTGAGTTGGTTTTATTGCTCGAAGACGTAAAGAAGTTGGATGATAGTGGTAACTAGATGTTATGTGTATGGAGTATATAAAGTAGCCATTCAGCGGCAAGTTCTCACTGGAAAGTCTTTACTTATTTAAGTATCATTTTTATATATTTCAGAAAATATAATTTTCCTAGGTGTAGATGAATGGTAATAATAAAAAAAAGTGGCCCAGAAGCAAGCTTCACACAGCCATGCTAACGTGCTCGTTTGAGTGGAATCACTTAATGGTTTTATGCGCTTATCATTACCATCCCAGAGGCGGTGTGCTTGGTTAAACGGATAGCAAATGGCCAGGACCCCTTTTTGGGCAGGAGACAACAGACCCTGTGGGTGGGACATAGACACAGTTGATTCAATCAAAATTTGAGTGTGTGTGTGTGTGTGTTTGCTTGTTGTTCGCGGACATTTTTATCTGGCGGATGTTTGGCTCGCTGTCAGCGCTAAAAATGTTTGCGCCCCGTCATTGTTTTAATGCGAAACACACGCAAACACTCGCGTCGAACACAATGCGATTTCTGCGCCTAATGTTTCACTTCTTTTTGGGAGCGTGACGATGGCAAGGTGAAAGGTCATGGGGCGCAGCCCACAAATAAGGAAGTAATATGTCGCCGCCATCGTGGCCATCAAATTCAGACGAGGGTTTGTCCCCCATTTGGTTTTCGTCTTGGGGTTCCCGGTTTTGCATCTGGTTTAGTGAATTCCACTTCACACTGAGACGAAATTCGATATTTTCTAATTTTGATATTATATTATATCATAAGATATGATATGATAATTATTTATACCAACAGTAGCGATAATTTCTAATGAATTTTAAGTAATGTTTCGTATGAGGTTTTTACCCGGCTTTAGAATTTAAAATATTTGAATATTTGCCTATTTACAATTGGTTCTAAGCTCAATTTTCTTTCGATAACTGACAAGAACTTCATATGTGCCACAACTTTTCTTGTTTAGATTCTTTTAACTCCATTTTCTACTAACTTAAAAGGAACAGTTCCATTAACTTCGGCCTAAGACAGAGCTAGAATTCCATTGATCCAATATAAATTTCAATATTTATATACCTTTCTTTTTCTACTTTCTGAAAGTATGATAGAATACTCGCTTAATTTTTCAAAATTCCAGTTTTAAAACTTTGTATTCCCTCTGTATTATTAACTTAAAGAGTGTTGGAGTCTGTTCCACCTAACCTTAATTTTCTGCCACTCATCTTTATCTGCCTTTGCCCTTTTGCCAGCTTCCAGCAGCATCCCCCGGATTCTTCACTTTTCTTCATTGTTCCGCCCTCCATCACACGGCTTTGTTACTGCTGCTGCTGCTGCTGCTGTCATTGGCATTGAACCGCATTTGTTTAAAAGATTGATGACCAACAATTGACTGCAGTCAGTATCCTTCCTTCCGCCCCCTCTCAGCCGCAGATGTAGCTCCTGCTTCTGATGAGTTGTGCTCAATATTTATGAGCCGCAAATCCGGACAGACACTTGGAGTTTCCCCTTGATCGAAGAGTCGAGTAGAGAGAAAGAGAGCTTTGGGTGTGTGGCCGTGACCTGTAAAAGTTGCAGAATGATTTCATTAATTTAATGTACAACAATGTGACTTGTCACTTGTCAACTTTTTGGTGGAAACTTAACTTCGGGGTAAATCAGTTCATATTAGTCTAATGCCCCATGGGTCTAAGGAAACTCACTTAGTGACGGGGAAACTTTGCCGACGACATGTCATTGATTTAATTTCTGCTGCATGCCCAGGACAACAGACAGAAAGGACACGACGACGACACGACAGGACAGGACAAGGATTTTTAAAAGTGTCTGATGCAGGCAGCGATGCATCATCATGCTTGTCAGCCGCATTTACTCGACATTTAACTTATGCCAAGTCCAGAAGGACGAGCAGAACGGAAGGATGGAAGGATGGCAGGATGCGCAGTGCTCGAATGGTAAGTAGAAGATAATTTTGTGGGAAAGTAGGTTGAGCATCATGTAATGATAACAGTTTATGACAGACCCGAGGTTGATTTTAACCTTCACCTGTCACATATTACAGGATACGGAAATTTGTAAGTTGTCAGAAAGTTCTAAATCAAAGAAATGCTTTTTATTATTATAACTACCAAACACTAGAGAAAATACACTCTCAATAGTTTATATTTTGCAATCAAAAGAAGCAACAAATTTGATATAAAGAATCAACCTTTAATTAAACCCCTAAATAACACAGCCCTTAGCCTTGGCACTACTACTTTATCACTAAGTGACAGTGTCATCTCGAAAGAAAGGGAAGAAGACCCCAAATAACCTAAACCAAACCCTCACCCAAGATCCCTCCATCCATTCTGTGACAGACATTTACGGCACTTTTCATTAGCAGCCACACTTGTTGTCGCGGGGTGCCAACTTTCTTTTGTATCTATAAAATGTCTCGGATGCTGTCCTTGTTCCTGGTTCCCTGGACTTTTATTTCTTATTCCTTGCCAAGTTGGTGGGAGTTATTAACCCTTAACCACACGTTACCATTTATAACCCCCGGACAAAGTAAAGGCGACGAGCTGGAGCGCGTTAAGCTGACAATGGCAACAAATTTTTCCCTTTTTGTCGTCTATTGTGTCCCGGGATCTGTTCTCTGCCACCATTCGATTGTGGTTCTTTTCCTTTTTGTCCATGCGGTTTATCGCTTTTAATTCGTCCTGAGCCGCTGCCCGGATTCATAAGGGAGCCGTAAGTGGATATATATGGTGGTTACATCTCTTGATTCAGTGTGATAATTGTGAGTGAAAATTCTGGATTTTACCAGGGAAATTTTGGTTGTGAATTCAATTTTTTGGAAACCTCTGCTTAAGTTTCTTTATACTTTGTTATAAGGTTAATTTCAGCTCTTCTATATTTCCTTATCTCGATTACAATTTATCAGGTGTCTATAAGTTTGAATTGTTTCTTTGTTGTTGTTAGCTAGTGATAGCTGTTTTGATTAATTATTTCAAATTGACTGAAATATTGGTGTTAATGTGCCTAAGATAGATCAAGTGGATACTCTAAAAAGTGATAAGATTTGTGTATATAAACTAGTTCTTACACGTGTCGAAAAAACCATTCGTAAGTTAACTGTGCAGCAATATGAAGGCTTTAACTCTGTGTCTTCTGGTCTTGGTTTCGGCCACTTGCCTTCTGACCACTCGGGTAAGTCTATTATCTATTAACTTAAATAATTAATAAACATTATGCACTTAATTTTTAGGCCAACTCGATTGAATCGGTCGATGATTTAGACATTGATTTCGACTTTGAATTCGAACTAAATCAGTTGCCGGATGAATTGGATAATGACAATGACTATATGGATGTGGAGGATTATGGGTTTATTCGCACTTGCAGGAAAATCCTTCGCAAGGCTTTGAAGACAGTTCGTGGCACTAACTGTATTATCAAGGAGGTTGTCGAAATTCTGAATTCCTGTACAACCTACGTGGATGCCATCGATGCCTGCGGCACAGCAATTCCCAAGGATGTGGCCAAGATTGTGAGCAATGTCAAGGATATGATCAAGATCTGCAATGATATTCTGCATCTGCATTCGAAATTGTGTGCCAAGGAAAAATCTGTGGGCTCGGTTGTCAAGAACTCTTCTAAATGCTTTTGGAATCTGTTCAAGGCCAGCATGAAGCTGACCAGAAAGATCAATAAGACTCTCAAACTGATTGCCAAGTTGCCAGCAGATACCAGCTCCTGCTTCTTGAATGCCACCAATAAGATCAAGGTTTCTTTCAACTCATTCCTGCCCAACATTAATGTCTGTATTGAGTCTATGTGAACAATCGTTAAAGTTTACCTTATCAGAAATAAATACATTGTCAATCTCTAAAACCAACTTTTTTGAAAGCGATTAAGTAAAGATACCGAGTTTTGGGATCAAAATATTGGATATTACGATTTTAGTTACTTAATAAGTTTGGTGAGCCTCATCATATACATACAAAGTTCAAGAGTTTCGGAACTTTCAGACCCCTCAAACTTATTTAGTTTCTCTTGATAGATAATTCAATATATAGATACCAGCAGATTAGTTGAGATTGCGTTACTAAGCACTCTCAGCTGATAGAAATAGACAATTGGTTAAGTTGGTACAATTTTAAGAGCCAATTGACTAACATATGTGTATTTTCCCTATAGATATAATTGTGTATATACTAATTCCTGATTTTAATTTAATTAAAAATAGGAAAGCTTACTTTGAGAAGTCGAAATGTTTATACTTTTACATAGGATCATGGGTTCGAATGTGAAATCGATCATCACTAAGGCAAAGTTTCACTGGTCTTTAACATTTAAAAAGTTAAAAATTTTATACATATTAATAATGTTTAATTACTATCACTGCCGCTTTCACTAGAGATGTTAACAGTCCGGAGGCCACGTTCAGAATGCGGCCAGTGCGAGTGAAGCGACTGTATTTATAGTCTCCGAGGAAAGAGAACAGAGAGAGTGGGAGCGAGAGAGAAGGAGCTGTCCCTATATGAAGGCAGAGCGAAATAGAGAATAAGAGCTATCTCTAGAGATGTACAGAGAAAGAGATGGACATACCGAGAGGGAGAGAGAGAGAGAGGGGAGTTTTGCATTTTCCTATACATGTAACGATCCTTTCTGTGCCAGCTATATGATATAGTTGTTCGATCCGGTTCGTTCAGACTTACATATATACTATATTTATACAGAGTTCTGGTATTAAATGCAGATTCCTTACTTATTGATTATATCCCATTGTTTTGAAGCTTTCATAAAAATGTGATCCTAAGTTTTCAAATCCGCCATGTGCCAATAAAGAAAAAAAAAATCAAGCGTATCGTGTTCTCATACATTTAGATAATTCTACTTCTATGGGATAATCTTAAATTTTTGTACAGGCTTTAAATAAAAAATACCGTCATTAACGCTCCAACAATTGCCTGTACTCTATGAGGATTTGCTCCTCCTGAATCAGCGGCAAATCCAAATAGTCGGGATTGTTATCAGAGAGATCCTCGTTAAATCTCTTGAAGGCAGTATATGTTTCCATCTCCGATTTGGCCTGACTGAGAGCCCTTTGGATGAGGGTTAACTTACTGCCGGAAAAGTTGGCAAAGAGAGAGGGGTCATTGTTGTTGGTAGCCCTATTCGATCCTGAGGGACCATTTTCCTCCAGTATTCTTGTCATAGCTCGGATCACACCCACTAGTTCGCTTTTGCTAGCAAAGCTTTTCAGCAGATACTCAACGGCCTTTGGAAAATCATTTTCAGTGGTTTCCAAAGCAACTCGAGCGGACGGGGCCTGGAACCCAAGTTGCTGGAGGGTAGACAGTAACGTTTCATCTACAGCAAGAGCTGGTGGCAAATTGGCTCTCAGCTCTTCGGAATGGTTCTGCAGAAGATCCAGACTTCGGTCTATGTTATTCTTGGTCCTCTTTAGGGCTTCCACCACCAAACGTCGCTCATAGCCCATTTCTATTAGCCTCGCAACGCCCCTAGGATCTATCCATCCTCGATTCGAATTTCCCTCTTTCAGCTCCTGGTTAAGTTGGCTCACACGCGCCGAGGTTTTCCGCTCTTCGCTTATCTTCTCCCTGCGTTCCTGGATGAACTGAATGGCTCTGTCCACATTGCCGCCACAGGACCTCAGTGCTAGCCTGGCTTCCGATTCATCGTAACCCATTTCGACTAGGAGGGAAATGTGGTCGTCGGAGGCCTTTAGCTCGTCCAAAGCTTTGCCAGCCTCCTCCAGTCTTTCGTAGGCCTCATCTCGGCGATTCTGGTGAAAGAAAACCACACCTTGCAACAGGCGTAGCCTCATGATAAGAGCTCGCTCCGGACAACTTGATCCCTTGATGGAGTACAATCGATCGAACTGATCACCATAGCTGAGGCGAAAGGTCTTCTCACAGATCTCCAAGCGGCGCTGGGCATCCGGTAATTGAGTGATATTCTTCAGGCAAAGGTAGCACCACACAATGTCCAGGTTAAGCAGGGCATAATTGTCCACCGCTTCCAGGAATTTTGAGTTGCATTGGGAGAACAATTCATCGGCTTCTAGGAGCAAGAGTAAGGCCTCATCGAATTGTTCCCTTTGAATGGCAGCTCTGCCCTTCTCGTACATGCTCATGGCCATGAGCAGGGATCGATTCTCGATGGGCGGCAGAAAAATCTGACGTCCATTTTGATCCTCCATTTGCATGAACCGGTGATCGGCATCCACAATCACCTCCACATCCGCTCGTATCCTCTGGATACGTTCATGCAGCTCCTGGCCTTGCACTTGACTGCCCACCACTATCATCAATTGCTGACCGTTCTTCACACCCTGAGCGGCCAGAGTTCGCTGTCCATCGATAATGCGACCTGCCGAAATGCACTTCACATGACTCGGGTCAGTCAATCCCATTCTCTTTGACACCGCATTCTGTAGTTCCGATCCTGGGGCCCCCAGAGAGCACTTGACCTCTACTATTTGCGCAGTGCCACCTTTGCTGTCCACACACCTCACATTGAAGGTGGCCAGACCAGTCTCAGTGAACTCCTTGCGTGCTGCCAATTTCCTTAGAGCACTATCCTGCATTTCCGTCAGGGCACACCGGCAGTTGGACACACTTATTCCCAGATCTCCGCTCAAAGTGCCCGCCAATCGATCCATCTCTGACTCAATGCTGCCCACTCCGTCGAGATAATATGGCTCCTCCCACAACTTAATATCCCGCTCCCGTAATTGGGCTCGCAACTTGATAAAAGTATTGTCTATCTGTGTCATGGTCTGTCAGTCTGTCTCTCGATTCCGATAACCAGACAATTTTGAATTTAACTACATTGATTTCAGATGAGTTTACCTACCTGGATATACTAGACTCGTAGGGTATACATTTAGACCCTTCAAAGTGAATCCATGCAAATATTTTTTAATGCTTGTAAAAGGTTAAGCTAGAAAGCAGGGGAATATTAGGATAAGAAACTACACTACGCTAGATAGTTATTAAATTTTTGATTCAAAATGCTAACAATTAAAAACTTATTTATAATAAATACTAGTATTTATTTTGCTTTATTTTAATACATTTTATCGGCTTTGTTTATAGACTTAAAGCCATTCTCCTCCGCCATAGTAAACCTCCAATCTTATATCAATGGGTTCTCTTACTGGCGATCTGATCGTAATTTCCGGGCTATAGGCAGGCGGCCAATGATCCAACGATATAATAGGTCTATTACGTGCATTATCCCATAATCTAATGCAATGAATTTGATATCTCAAATTTAGTGTAGTTTTGTAGACTACCGTACCCCAATACGCCGCAACCTGGTCTATATGGCGTGTCATTTTAAAGTCGCCGGGTTTTGGCCATCCATATGTATAGGATGCTGGAGAGTTAAAATCCCATAAATATGCTCCTGGAATTGCCAGAAAGATAATGGCTACTAGAGCGGCGGATCTGTAGACACGTCCATCAGAACCGTGAAGAAGAAACATTTTGCAGCTGCTATTTGTTTTCTCGATTCTCAATGACTGAGCTCTGCAGCGGTGAAAAGCCATAAAATCAGATTAAACCAAAAAATTTTTAGTCAACATGTTATGGTATTTCCTACTCAATTTTCCTTGTCGTTACATAATAACAGTATGGCGAAGTTTTTATACCCTTCATCCATCGATTCATTTTGGTCAAACAAATATGAAAATACAAGGATTCGATTTTTTAGGAAACTCAAAATATTATTTTCCATCATTTCACCAATATCATTTAGATACATATTAAATAAAAGTTCTTAATCTGCTTTACGTTTTTTTATATATTTCTTGATTGGCTTTTTGTTTAAGGTTTAAACACTAAGCTTATCTCTCAACAAAAACATCTATTCTAACATCGATTTTTTGATGACTGGGCGAGGTGATAACTAATTCCGGATTATAGCAAGGTGGATTTTGGCTCAACCATATTTTGGGCCCATTACGTGCATAATCAGTGATTTTAATGCAATTAATACGCCATCTAAAAGCTAGGGTAGTCCTGTAGGTAACCGAACCCCAAGAAGACTCATCCAAGTTTACATAACGCGAATTTCTCGAGTCGCCATGTTTAGGCCATCCATATGTATAATCCGTGGCTTCCCAAGAAGATGCATCTGGAATTGCCAGAATAATAATGGCAACTAGAACGGCGGAACTGTAGATACATCCTGTAGATCCGTGTAGTAGAAACATTTCTTAGCTTCTTTATGGTTTCTTGATGACTGAGCCAAGCAGCGGGGAAATGCCTTTGAATGAGATTAAACCAGAAAGTATTTCCGCCTCCATGCTATAATAATTCGATTTGCATTATATAAAATTCGAGATTTTAAAATAATACAAATTTTCCATGGCGAGGGTGTACATTTTCTGATCTTTTAACTTAAGTAATAATACCCTGCAAGGGTATTATTAAATTTTTAAATAAGATAATTACTTTATTTGGAATGTATCGGAGTGTGTTATTATACATAATGGGCTTTCTGCATAAGCTGCAAGCAGTTAAAATCAACGACCTTCAACGTAAATCTCCATTTTCATATCGATTCTCACTTTGTTTGCTGATCTGATTACGATTTCTGGGTTATAGCAAGGCGGCCATGCACTCATCCATACCTCAGGTCTAGTACCAGTTCGATCCTCTAAGCTAACGGCAGTAATCTTCCTTCCAAGATTTAGTTGTGTTTGGTAGGTAACCTTACCCCAATAAGACGCAGTCAATCGAATATTACGGACTGTTCTGGCGTCGCCGGGTCGTGGTTCTCCATATCTATAGTGTAGTGGTTGTGTAAAGTAGTCAGTTTGTGCATCCGGAATTGCCAAAAGAAGAATTGCTAGCAGAAAGGCGGAACTGTATATACGTCCAGTAGATCCGTGTAGAATAAGCATTGTGTAGCTTCTGTCTGATTTCTTCGTTCGTTATGACTGAGCCATGCAGCGGTAAAAAGCCATGAAATGAGATTAGACCAGAAAGTTTTGGTCAAGCTTATATGGTATTTCCTTCTCAATGTCCCTTCCTTTACCTAGTAAAACAAGAAAAGAAGCTAACTTTAGTATACCGAAGTTTGTATATCCTTTATCCATCGATCCATTTGGGTAAAACGAAAAAAAACTAAGAGGAGCCTAATGTATCTGATATAATGATTAGATTTTTTTTTAGGAAATTCGAAAAATTATTTTAAAACCGTGTGAAGTATCTTTATCCGAGAGATTGAATTTATATTTATTTATTTTTATTTTATATATCATGTATGCTTTGAATGTTAGTGATTGGGCTTTGTGTTAAAATCAACGTTTTTCAACGAAAACCTCCATTGTCATATCGATGTTCACTTTGTTGGCCGATCTGATTATGATTTCTGGGTTATAGCACGGTGGCCATTTACTCATCCATACATCAGGCTTAGTACGTGTGTGATCAAATAATTTAACGCAAGTAATCCGCCTTTGTAGTCTTAGTGTTGTATGGTAAGTCACCTTACCCCAATAAGACGCAACCAATTCTATACGACGGACGGTTCTATAGTCCTCTGGACCTTGCTCTCCATAGGTATATTCTAGTGGGGGTCTCCAGAAGTAGGAATATGCATCCGGAATTGCCAGAAGAAGAATGACTACAAGAACGGCGGAGCTGTAAATACGTCCAGTAGATCCGTGAAGAAGAAACATTTTTTAGTTTGAATTTGCCTTTCCCATTCCTGATGGCGGTGAAAATGAGATGAAACCAGAAAGCTTTGGACAAGCTGTTATGGTATTTAATTCTTAATGGTATGGTAATTTGATTTGCAAATCAAGATTCTAAAATAACAAAAATTATCCATGTCTCAAAGTAGTTGAAAATTTCTCAAAAACCGTACATTTGTTCATTTTCTGCCAGGGTATAAGTCAAGGCAAGGGTATAAGTCATAATTGTTACATTTTGTAATTAGTTAATTACTTTATTCGACTTCTGACAATAATACAATATTATTAATGTGTTGTATTTGTATTTTATTATACATTAACCGCATTTGTGTAAGACAATTTTCTGGAAACGTGAATCTCCAATCTCATATCGATGTTCACTTTATTTGGTGCCATCACCATGATTATTGGTTGATAGCAAGGTGGCCATCTACTCATCCATACATAAGGTTTAGTTCCGGTATAATCAATTAATTTAATGTAATTAACAACCCTATTTAGGTGTATTTTTGCATGGTAAGTAGTCCTACCCCAATAAGACGCAACCATTTCTATACGATGGACGTTTAGCATGTCACTGGCATATTTTTTCCCATATGTATATTGTGTTGGTCTCCTGTACCATGAATTTGCATTGGGTATTGCCAGAAAAATAATGCCCACTAGAAAGGCGGAACTGTAGAGACGTCCAATAGGTCCGTTAAGAAGAAACATTTTGGAGTTTCTATTTGCCTTTCCCATTCCTGATGGCGGTGAAAGCGAGATGAAACCATAAAGCTGTGGATAACCTGTTTTGGTATTTCATTTTTAATGGTATGGTAATTCGATATGCGTTAAATAAAAATCGAGATTCTAAAATAATAAAAATTATCCATAATATTTTAAAAACTGTACATTTGTACATTTTCTGCAAGGGTATAAGTCATAATTATTACATTATGTAATTAGTTAATTACTTTATTCGACTTCTGACAATAATACAATATTATTAATGTGTTGTATTTGTATTTTATTATCCTTTAACCGGATTTGTGAAAGACACACTTCTGTCAGCGTAAATCTCCAATCTCATATCGATGTTCACTTTATTTTGTGCTCTCACTACGATTACTGGTTGATAGCAAGGTGGCCATTTACTCATCCATACAAAAGGTTTAGTTCCGGTATAATCAATTAATTTAACGCAATTAATAACCCTATTTAGATGTATTTTTGCATGGTAAGTAGTCCTACCCCAATAAGACGCAACCATTTCTATACGATGGATGTTTAGCATGTCACTGTCATATTTTTTCCCATATGTATAATGTGTTGGTATCGTGTACCATGAATTTGCATTGGGTATTGCCAGAAAAATAATGCCCACTAGAAGGGCGGAACTGTAGAGACGTCCAATAGGTCCGTTAAGAAGAAACATTTTGGAGTTTCTATTTGCCTTTCCCATTCCTGATGGCGGTGAAAATGAGATGAAACCATAAAGCTGTGGATAACCTGTTTTGGTATTTAATTTTTAATGGTATGGTAGTTCGATATGCGTTAAATAAAATCGAGATTCTAAAATAATAAAATTATCCATAATATTTTAAAAACTGTACATTTGTACATTTTCTGCAAGGGTATAAGTCATAATTATTACATTTTGAAATTAGGTAATTACTTTATTCGAATGCTGACAATAATACAATATTATTAATGTGTTGTATTTGTATTCTATTATAAATTATGGACTTTGTTTTAAAACCAACTTCTTCGAACGTAAATCTCCAATCTTATATCCATGTTCACTTTATTTGGTGACGTCACTACGATTACTGGACTATAACAAGGTGGCCATTGACTCAACCATACGTCAGGTCTAGTTCCTGTATAATCAGTTAATTTAATGCAAGTAACAAGCCTTTTTAAATCTATTGTTGCACGGTAAGTAGTCCTACCCCAATAAGACGCAACCAATTCTATACGATGGACGTTTAGCATGTCGCCGTAGCCTGTCTTCCCATATGTATATTGTAGTGGAGTAGTCCAGAAGAATGAATTTGCATTGGGTATTGCCAGAAAAAGAATGCCTACTAGAATGGCGGAACTGTAGAGACGTCCAGTAGGTCCGTTAAGAAGAAACATTTTGTAGTTTCTATTTGCTTTCCCCGTTCCTGATGACGGTGAGAATAAGATTAAACCAGAACGCTTAAGACAAGCTGTTATGGTAATTAATTCTTAATGGCATGGTAATTCGATTTGCATTAAATACAAAACGAGATTTTAAAATAAAACAAATTATCCATGTCTCAAAGTAGATGAAAATATGTCAAGAACTGCCATTATCTGCAAGGGTATAAGTCATAATTGTTACATTTTGTAATCAGGTAATTACTTTATTCGAATGCTGACAATAATACAATATTATTAATGTGTTGTATTTGTATTTTATGGTTTTTCAACGTAAATCTCCATTTTTATATCGATGTTCACTTTGTTTGCGGATCTGATTACGATTTCTGGGTTAAGGCAAGGTGGCCATTCACTCATCCATACCTCAGGTCTAGTTCGTGTGTGATCATATAATTTAACGCAAGTAATCACCCTGTTTAGACTTAGTGTTGTACGGTAAGTCACCTTACCCCAATAAGACGCAATCATTTCTATACGACGGGTGGTTCTCAAATTGCCGGGTTTTACCTCTCCATAGGAATATTCTAGTGGAGGTTTCCAGAAGAATGAATTTGCATTGGGTATTGCCAGAAAGAGAATGCCTACTAGAATGGCGGAACTGTAGAGACGTCCATTAGGTCCGTTAAGAAGAAACATTTTGCAGTTTCTGTTTGCTTTCTCCATTCCTGATGACGGTGACAATAAGATTAAACCAGAAAGCTTTAGTCAAGGTGATATGGTATTTCCTTCTCAATGCCCCGAAGCACGCCGAAATTTGTGTACCCTTGAAGTTTGCTATTTAATTATTAAGAATGGATCCATTTTTGTCAAACTTAAAGGAAAAGTAACAGGAGATTTATAAAACTTGTATACATCAGATATAATTATTGGATTTGTTTGGAAATTCTGCATTTTAAAATCTTACGAGAACGGAAATGACTCCTTTCCAGGTGTTGCAAACTTCTGACTAAATTTATAAAAGCATTTAACGACATAAAATTGTTAGGGGAACCATTTTACGATAATTCAATTTTAATTCTATGTTCAAAAGCCCTGGTATCTTATATATATCAGACAAGGTTGCAATTAAAAAAATTTGCTCTTATTTGCTTTATTTTTTGTATTTATATTCAGGGTTTAATCCGTTTTGTTAATTCCTTTCGAATAAAAAACATGCATTATAACATGGAACCCCTCTCTCTCGGGGTGATAGTGACTTCCGGCTTAAAGCAGGGTGGTTCCTTATTCATCCAAATTGTAGGTCCTGTTTTGGCAATATCCCTGAATTGAACGGCATTGATTTCAGTTGGTGTTCTTAGTGTAGCTTTGTAAGTAGCATTCGAATCCAATTTCTTTATAGGACGATGTAGTGTAAGGTCACCAGGTTTTGGCCTCCCCATGATTGGCTTGCGTCAAAAAGGATTCGCCTGGAGTTGCCAGAAGAAGAACGGCTATTACAACCGGCAAACTGTAGACCTTCATTGGGGAAATGTGTAGCAATTTCTGTTTACAACTTTAAAACTCTGGCATTCAGCGTTGAAAATTGTGTTAATCAGATTAAACCAAAGGGTCAGTTTATTTTACACTAAAACTTATTTTGTTTAATGTCTCTGAAGTCACATAACAGGACTAGAAACTGTGATTTATTTATTATAAAAGAAAAGCTTTAATTGTCGGACGTGCGTCAACGAAAACTTCCACATTAAAATTAAATCCATAAAAATATCTCGATGTTATAATGACCCGCGGTAAATCGCAAGGTGGTTCTTTACTCATCCATATCGTAGCTCCCGTTTTGGTCTGATCCCAGAATTTAATGCAATTGATTCTGCGTGGCATCCATATCGATTCGTTGAATACAGCCCTTCCCAAAAATATCGGTTGCTTAACTATTTGAGATTTCCATACTGAGTCACCGGGCTTTGGCCAGCCCCATGTTTGGCTGGCATCAAATAGATATGCCCCTGGAATTGCCAGAATAATAATTAGTTTTAAAACTGCCGATCTGTAGACCTTCATTGTAGATAAGTCAGTAGCTACTGTTTGATTTCCATATTTCAAATAACTTTGGCTTGCCAGCGAAAAAGATTGTAATAATATAATTGAACCATTAAGTGTTATGGTTAAAATTGTTTGTTTAGGTTTTTAAGCAGGGAAATTTATTATTGTTTATTTGTTCTAAAGTTTTGATATTGCCTTAATATATGGGTAATGAACCTTAAATTTCTGACACTGGTAGTTGCCAGTAGTTATATGGATACTATTAGATTTTAGATTTGTTAAAGTTATTTTTTAAGACTTAAATTAAGACGAAAGGAAATAATTATTATTATATATAATAAACAGACTGGAATAAAGATGCAGGAGAATGCTTAAAGCAACTGTTCTATATTAAGTCAGTTTAAACTTAAGTATTTAGCGGACTACTGCTTCGTTGACATATTTAGTCCGTCAAAGATTTTACCGGAAAGGATTTCATCATCTTAGGGTTTATTTATCAGTTAACCAATTTTTCATCCTATATTCGTATTCATTATATATCGGTTGAGTCTAATTAATTAGACGTACTACAGAACTTACATACAGAACTATGATTTTTAACTTGTTGCTAACTACATACCTTTCAGAAAATCCCTCTGAGTGCTCCATCATTCCATTAACTCTTAGTTTGTACATATATGTTTTCTGGCATCACAGCAATTACTCATAATTTGTTGGAGCCCCTTTCCCGGGTACATTTAATTCCATCTTAAACATAACCATCCGCTCCCCACAAAATAAACTAATGCCCGGCGAAGTATGCTATGCATTTTGGCTGCTGATGTTGCTGCTGCGATTTGCTCACTCATGTGCATAACGTCACAGTTTTTCACAATTTTCGACTTGTGGGGGGGTAAGTGTGTGTGTGTGTATATATATATTTTCTGGATACGTTTTTCTTTTTTCGTGCTTGTGAGTGACTTTTGTGAAAATTAATAAGTTTTCAGCCCCTCTCGCCAATCTGCCAATGCCAAGCGAGAATTCTGCAGTTGATGGCCAAATAATTTGTCGTCCTGTTTTGTGGTGTTATTTCCAAATCGTTAAACCTTAAATAAACTCTGCTCGGCTCTTTCTTCTCTTTCTATTGCCCATGCTCTTGCTCTTTTCTTTATTGTGTGTTTGTTCAGTTTTTGGGTAGATTTATTATATATGCGAAATGGCGCACACATTTTGAGTGGCTGACATTTTCACTTGACTGCGAACTTTCCGCCTTTTTCCCAAAATAAATCGTGCATGCAGTGGCCCACAAAAATAATAATGTGAAAACTGAAATTGAAAAGCCATTTAGCAGATTGTTTTCTGTATATAATAAATGAGCATTGTCTTAAAAAGAAGGGATAAGTACTTACTCATAAAGAAATATACATCCATAATTTGTGCTACAAATTTTAGAATACTAAATGTATGCTTTTCCTTAAAATAAAATAATTTTAGCTGTAAATAAAAATATTTTGTCAATATTTATTACCAAAATTGTTAATAAAATTTTTGGTTTTCTATAATTCTGCATTACTTGTGTTAAAGAATATATTTTCTTGCAGTTTCCTTGATGCATTTTTCCCTTTTCATTTACCCCAAGACCTCGCTTTATGTCACGAAAACTGCAGAAATTTGTGAGGCAAAATGCAAAAATGCTAAAAAGAAGTATAACAAAAAAAAAAGACTAAAAAAAAGCGCCCCAAAGAAGAAGAAATGTCAAAATGTTGTTCGAGGACGCGGCGGCCTGTCTTATTTAGTAGCGAAAATGAGCAGCGGCAGGCACATCCTTGCTGGGAAAAATTGGTGGTTAGAGAGGGTTTTTCAAAGCTGAGTAGAAGGGGGTAAAAAGCAGGCACAGGCAGCGTTTAGATTTCGTTCTTTTTTCCCAAGGACTTAGAGGCGACATAGGGGGGAGCCAGAAAATGGGGGAAAAGATGGAGGAAAAATGCTTCACTGGGGCGCGCATTCTTTGGCTGATTTCCGTTGGTTGTTCGGTTGTTAGTAGATTTTGTAATCACACTGTTCGAAATGTATTCTAAATAAGTAGGTGAATTTTAAAATTAAATATTTGTGAAATTTTTTTATAGCTTTAAAAGCTTAATAATTTATTTGAAGCTAGGTTTACTCGGTTCCCAACTAAAATGTTGATTAGAAATTGGGGATACAAATGTAAAAAACTCTCAGAGCAAAGCAAAAAAGAACTCTTGTTTGCTACAGTAAGGATCTTATAAGTTTTGTAGCTGCTTTGAATGTACATTGCAGACAAAGCATAGAGAATAGAACGAGAGAGAGATACAAAATAAAATGTTAACAATTCTTTTGTATTCTTAACTAATAGATTCCAAAAGCAACCTCGCGTTTTAGGGAAATGGAATGCTCTCTTGCAAGCACTGATTTTAAATGTTGAATTGCATAAATTGTGTTGTATTGTATTGTATAAATTGTAATCTCAGTGTAGTGTTAGTTGTTAGTGGCAGTTGTTGCTGTTGCTGGATGTTTGTTGTCATCAACAGCCAGCAACATTATCATTGTAGCTGCAAGTGGCGGCTGTTGCTGTTGCTATATTTGTGCTTCTGCTGTTTGTCCTCATTATCGTTTGTCCCCATGCTCTCTCCCCTCTCTCATGTCCTTTACCATTTGCATTTCCATAGTCCCCATCCCTGGGTCCCTATAAAACAATTTTTTTCGTGTTCCCTTGGCAACTTTAATGGGTTCGTAATGTAAGTGAAGTGAACTCAGCTCTGCTCCTCCATTTACGGAAATAAGTATGCCTCAGATTTGGATCTTAAAGGACTTACAAACTGCACTAAAATGATGAGTCCTGCATTTAAATGTAATATCCCCAAAAAGTTGGCCTGCTACGGAGACAAAGAACTTTTTAAATTGCTTTGTTTTGGCCTCTCTTCCTGAGTTAATTAAAAAAAGATTTCTCTCATCAACTTTTCCGCAACTTAACCGCAAAAGTGTCGCATAAATTACAAATTAGT